GTCCGTATTTTCAGAATGGCTGGGGATCTAAAGGCTTGTCTTCAGCCGTGATTGCCTGCTCCACATTCCTGCTGCAAATCGTCATCTGCATGACACATGACTTCTGGTTAAATGCTTAAGTTTATTAGAGTGGAAACCAATTCTCAGTTATACAGGAAAGGAAAAAAGATTAGGAAGCGAGTCCAACCATTTGCTTATTCATCTATATATGGTTAAAACACTTAAAGGAATCTACTAGTTCCTGTTTCCTTACTACATGCAGGCCAAGAAGCAAAAAGAAAAAGAAAAAAAAAACAAAAAACAACCCAAACCCCAAATGAAACAAACACTCTTCCTTATTCATGGTATGGAAATCTATCTTCCATTAGCTGTGGGGGTAAGAAATTGCTTCCTTTTCTAATAGCAAGCCAATATAACCAAACTTTGAAGAAACTGGCTTCCTTGGAAAGGTTCTTTTTCTAAGTATGCTCTGCAACCTAACTCCACGCTGGCAAGCAACTACCATTTAAGCATGCCTGTCAGTGGGCCCTGCAGATCAGCAGTGCATGGAGAGGGCTTTTCTTGGCTTGTGGCATCTATGCCTCTGTGGGAAGACTTAAAGGCTGGGAGTGACATGGTATCAGAGCTGGAATCATCTGAAGCCTTCTGCACTCATGCCTAGCAACTGAGGTGACTCAGCCCGTAGCAAGATGCGACCGAGCAATTATACATGGCTTTTCCAAGGTGGCTTGAGTTTCTCCTTGGGTGCTGCTGGGATTCTGAGACAGGCATACCTTCAGAGAACAAGTATGACAAGAAACAGTCAGAATGTCATGCTGGCTGTATTCCAGTGGACAGGCAAACTCAGATTCAGGCTGAGTTAGTTCTGATGGTAGGCAGAAGAATCAAGCTCCTCCTTGACATGGAGAAAGAGCCAGGCAGTGAGTGCAGAAGAGCATGTAGAGACCAACTGTAGAAAAAAAAAAAAAGTACAGTTCACCTCAGCTCTATTGGCTTAGAGAGGCGGGAGGGCCTTTGCCAGTGTGTGGCCCTTCTTCACTGAGGGAGTGCAGGGTTCTTTCATGCTCAGTGGTAATCTCTGATGCACGGGTGTTTGTCTTCAGAGGTGTTTAGAGAAGAGGCAGCTCAAACTAGGAAAGCTGGCGAGAAGAAGTAGCTGGACAAATATGTCAGGTAGCCCTCTTCAGTTCTCAGCTAAAAGGTTCTAGTTTCATAGACCTTCCCTGGAACCTCTGTCCAGAATACCCTGTACCCCCACTTCATCATGGCACCCACCTATTTCCTTTCTCACCTTTTACTTTAAAAACCTAATGGAGTTGTTAAGAGTAAGTAGAGCAGCAGCCAAGCCCCTAGCTCAATCCCCAGCGAAACACAAAGTGGGTGGAGAGGGAAAATCTGGCTAGGGCTAAATTATCTTGGGTTAGATCTTGGTTCTGTTAATTTCTAATTATATAACTTTAAACAATTTATTGTGATGGTGATGTACAGAGGGGTTACAGTTAGACAAGTTAGGTAAACAGTACATTTCTTTTTGGACAATGTCACTCCTTCCTTCCCTCCCTCTCTCCCAGTTTTTCCCTCCGGTCTTCACTCACAAGTTGTATAGGTCATTTTCAATATAGTGATTAACTTTTATTTTTGAGACATAATCTAGGTATGTAGCCCAGACTGGCCCCAAATTCTAGACCATCCTGCTGTAGCCTCTAAAGGACTGGAATTACATATGTGTAATTCCACCAAGCTGGGATATGTTTCTGTGCCTTAGTTCCTTTAACAAAATGTGCTACTGAAACAAGGAAATTTTGTTGAATCATGGTTAGGGATTTGGCAGAGTACTTGCCTACCATGCAACAAGATCATGGGTTCAATTCTCAACACTCAAGAAAAACAAATAAATCAGTTGTGACTACAGGACTAAAAAGGGTAAAAATGTAGATATCGACTGGGTCAATGGTAGAATCAACAGATGAATTAGGACAAGGGAGATAAACAGCAAAGGTAATCTCAAAGAGAAAAGAGGCAACAGAGGCAAGGGAAATTTCTGGTGACATGAAAAATGAAGCAGGGCTGGGAATGTGGCTTAGTGGTGGCCTAGCATGCATGAAGGCCTGGGTTCAATTCCTCAGTACCACATACACAGAAAAAGCCAGAAGTTGTGCTGTGGTTCAAGTGTTAAGAGTGCTAGCCTGGAGCAAAAAAAGCTTAGGGACAGTGAGTGCCCAGGCCCTGAGTTCAAACCCCAGGACTGGAAAAAAAAAGTCCCTAATGGTGTCTCTTTTAAGCTGCTTTCGTAAGTGGAAGCTGGGGTCATCAACTTTATAGCTGACACCTCTCACTGTGCAGTTGAAAACTGCACACACTCCTTGTGCTTGAGTGTCAGGTCACTCTTCGTTCCAGGCTAAGCTTCCTGCCATGCCTTGGGGCACCCTATTTGAAACAGTTGGCCCTGGGGACCCGACAAGCTGCTGAACCTTTGAAGACAGTGAGCTGCAGATTCAAGTCTTCCAGGGAAGCAGGTGTGGGCAGATGTGTGCTTGCTGCCTCTCATTTGTGGGCTGATTCAGCAAGTATTTCATAAAAATGATGCATTCCTAGTAAGAGACACTGGAAAAGATTACAAGTCAGCTATTGACCTTCCCTTTGAGTGGGCACTAGAGGGCTGGCTCCTGAATGATACAGAAGGTTTGACGCCAGACCAGGCAGGAAAGTCTGTGAGACCCTGCTCTCCATTAACCAGCAAAAAGGCCGAAGTCTGGGACATAATGAATTATACAGAAGTCTAGGCATTCACACATAGTGAGACTAAAGGAGGACACTCTTAGGGGAGGAAGACAAAGGCATATTGCCTCTGATCATATACAACAATATTTATTGAAATGAACTCTGGGAAATGGAAACAAGGTGGAAGTGAAGGAGTGACTCAAGTTGCAGAACACTATCCTTGCATAAGAGAAAAAAAAAGTCAAGTGAGAGGGCAAGGCTCTGAATTCAAGCACCAGTGCCAGCATACACATACACACGAATGAATGAATGTGTGAATAATTGATCCTGGAGAAACCAGGACCCTCCAACAATCTCAAAGCAGACCCCTCTGGTTCCATGACCTCCAGGACTTAGATCAGTGAGCATCAACACTGGCACTAGTGGGCAGAGCAGGAGTCCAGACAGAATCATGGGTGACCATGCCTCTTTTAAGTAAATCAAATCCCTTTATTAATCATTCCCCATTCTTATTCCATTTATATCACAGTTCTACAACAAAAGATTCAGAGGAATAATCCATAAATTGACATAAGCAAAGATCTCTCTCTCTCTCTCTTTCTCTCTCTCTGCTTAACGAACAAAGGAGCAGTGTAGAGATGCTTGTGCTGTAGTAGCCAGAACAAGCTACATAACTGGTTGAGGGGTTGAAGCATCAGTTCCTGCTCAAGAACTAAATTACTAAGAGGGCTGGGGGTAGAGTTCAGTGGCAGAGTGCTCATTTATCATGTGCAAGGATCTGGGTTCTAGGTCCGGCACTGTAGAACAACAACAACAAAAACTGACCAGCAATCAAAATTACCAAGAAATTCCAAAGGGACAGCCAAGTGTTAGTCAAGTTCAGAGGCGCACCTCAGTGTGTCACCCTTTGTGACCCACATCCCACTGTGACTGCCCCCTCTCCCGCCTCCCAAGCCAGACTATTGGACCTTAAATCTGGCTTTGAAAATGTGTTAAGTGGGGGCTGGGAAGGTGGCTCAGTGGTAGGGTGCTTGCCTTGCATGCATGAGGCCCTGGGTTTGATTCTTTAGCACCACATACGCAGAAAAAGCTGGCAGTGGCGCTGTGGTTCAAGTGGTAAAGCGTCAGCTTTGAGCTGAAGAGCTGAGGGACAGCACCCAGGCCCAGAGTTCAGGCCCCACAACCAAAAAACAAAAAAAGAAAAGAAAAGAAAAGAAAGTGTTAAGTCATGTGATTCTGGACAAGGCATCTACCTCATCAAGTTCTCTGGTTTGAAAAGTGTCTAGAATATCTGGCATAAAGCAAACATTAGATAAATGTATAGTAAATATATATACTACAGCAAGCCTAATAAGAATCTTAACCTACCAGAGATGACTATTGGTCAAGGCATCATGAGTTTATGAACATTTTTTTGATGTTTTAAAAAACCTGGGTTCCTGATAAATAGAATTATGTTTTTATTACAATGACAGTGGTCACCTATTGTGGGTCCTGGGGCTTGAACTCTGGGCCTGAGTGCTGTCCATGAGTTTCTTTTGCTCAAGGTGGTTGCTCTACCACTTGAGCCACAGGGTCGTGTCTGGCTTTTAGAGCAGTTTGCTGGAGATAAGAGTCTCAAGGAGTTTCTTGCCTGGGCTGGCAATCCTCAGATCTCAGCCTCCTGAGTAGCTAGGATTACAAGTGTGAGCCATCAGCACTGGGCCTTTAAATTTATTTTTAACAATTAAATGAGGTATTTTGAGAGATAGTCTGGCTTGAGGCCAACAAGTCATAAAGCAAGATTGCAGAATGAAAGAAGATACTCGTCCATGGTCAAGGGCTGGGAAGCCTGTGGAGTGCAAGCTGTCATGATGCCAGCTTCACACAACTGCTTCCTTCATGTAGAAGCGCTCAGCAGGGACATCACTGACTCCACACAGGAAATAAAGCTGTTGCATCAGAACAAAAAAGGAAGAAATAACCTTTCTTTTAATGATTCAGAATACTGTTTTAAAAAGCAAAAGACATAGGATAGGAAATGCTGCTTTTTATTTCATACACACACACACACACACACACACACACACACGAGCGTGCGCGCGCGCACACACACACACATTTTTCTATTTCATATAAACTTTCTATTAGGTTGAGAAAAAAGTACTAAATTTGTAAGAAAACCTGCAGGTAGTGTTGCATATTTTAACCTAGGAAGAAATTTGGTGTATGGAGGCATAAATATTTGATATGAACTATTTATTAATATTTTAATAATTCTATGAGAGGACTCCCTCCCTCTCTCTTTCCCTCCCTCTTCTTTCTTCCTTCCTTCCTTCCTTCTTTTCTCTCTCTCTCTCTTTCTTAAACAGGGATTTGTTACATAATACAGATTGTTCTAGAGCCTGCACTCTTCCTGCTTCAGCTGCCCTTGTGTTGGGATTACAGGTGTGTGCTATAACTCTGGCATCTCAGTTTCTCTGGCGAGATATTTGTACATTATTTAACTATGATCATCCATAATTCTTAAGACTTTCAGAAGTCTTGATCAGTGTTCTAAGTCAATATTGTTGACTGCAAAATTCTAAAGAAGTTAAATTGCCATTGGTCAAATAATTCGCCCAAGGTACACAGATTTGGGATACTTCTCCTTAAGAGCTGGCCACTGAACAATGAAGTAATCCGAGAGGTGGAACAGAATCTTTCCGGACAGAGATAATGTTTCCACTCGGCAGATGCTCTCAACGTAGACAATGATCACCTTCTTTATTCCAAGGATCCCAAGGAAGAAGGCAGATACACAGATAGGAACACATGTTCCTGGTCCGTTACACAACACCTTTAAAAAAAATTAAAGGTTAAATTACAATACAGAAGATTAATCAAAATGAGGCATCTTGCATTAAGACCTCCTGCACTTTAAGAGATTTGTGTATTAGTCCAGTAAGTCTTTCTTGGTGAAGAACCTGGATGTAGCAGGCAGAGCATGTGGAAGCCAATGCTCGTGGAAACCATGTGAGCATTTTGCCTTGGCTCTCCTGGTCACCAACTCTGGGACTGGGAACCAATTCTGAACTTCTAACATCTAGCCCAGAGCCTGGGCCTCACAGACACATGTGGTTCTTCTCTGTAAATCTTATCTGTCTCCAAATATACTGAAACAGACCATAGTAATTAAGATTCGTTCTGTTTTCTTTCTTCTACTAATGTACTTTTGAGGTAGGAGAAAATGTCCTGGATGGCTATCTTATAGGATATTTTTGTAAGATATGAAATAATTTTCAGGGTGACAACCACATGAATGAGATTTTTTTGGGGGGGTCCGGTTGTGGGGCCTGAACTCTGGGCCTGGGCACTGTCCCTCAGCTCTTCAGCTCAAGGCTAGTGCTCTACCACTTGAGCCACAGCGCCACTTCCAGCTTTTTTTCTTTTTGCTTATGTGGTGCTGAGGAATCAAACCCAGGGCCTCATGCATGCAAGGCAAGCGCTCTACCACTGAGCCACCTTCCCAGCCCAAGATTTTTCTCATTCTCATTAAACCCTCAAGAGGGGTTAATCTGTGCTTGAAAGCTAGCCAACTTTTAATGCTTTTGAAAGTGTGCTAATTTTTTTCCTTTGATTTTTTTTTATTGTGAAAATACTGTACAGAGGGGTTATAATTACATGGGCAAGATAATGAATACATTTCTTATCAAGCATTGTAGCTTCCTCCTTTGTTTCCCCTTCC